AGAAATTTCAAGACACCAAAAATAAAGAACTTGAGCAGACACAGAAACAAATAAAGGAACTCAGACAGGATTTCAAAAAACAAGGATGCTATTAAAAAAAAGATATATATGAACTAAAGATGATGACACAAAATATAAGAGGAGTTGAACAAAAGATATAGAAAAAAGAATTAGAAGAAGTGCAAGACAAAGGGATATGTAATATACTCAATAAAATAATATCAGAATATTTCCTAAATGTGGAGAAAGTCTTGCCCATTCAGGTACAAGAAGCCTGAGGGCCCCAACAGACATGACCAAAACAGAACCTCCCACAGTTTATTATCATTAAAACAAAAAGCACAGAGAACAGAGAAAGAATACTAAAGGCTGTAAGAGAGAAAAAACAAATAACTTATAAAGTTAAACCCATAAAAATAACAGATTTCTCAACAGAAACCTTAAAAGCAAGAAGGACATGGAGTGAGGCATTTCAAGCACTGAATGAGTATAATTTTAGCCCCGGGATACTCTACCCAGAAAACCTGTAATTCAAAATTGATAAAGCAATAAAAATGTTCCACAATAAAGAGTAACTAAAACAATACATGACCACCAATTCAATCTTCAGTTACTTGAAGATTCTACAAGTAATTCTGCACAAAGAAGATGAAAGCAAACAAAACCACGAAAGGACGGGAAGCATCAAACCACTGGAGAAGAAAAGACAAGTACTCCGAGAGTAGCACTGATTTGGCTGCACACAATCAAATCCTTAAAAAACAAAAACAATTAAGTGGCAGGAATCACCACATACCTATCAATATTAACAATGAATATCAATGGACTCAATTCCGCTATCAAAAGACACTTTTTGGAAAACTGGATTAAAAAGACAATCTGTTGTTTACAAGAGACAGAAATAAACACTGGCTTAGGGTGAAAGGCTGGAAGAAGATTTGCCAACCCAAAGGCCCCCAAAATGAGGCAGGAGTAGCAATACTTATATCAGACAAAGTAGACTTCAAACTAAAATTGGTCAAACAAGACAAAGAAGGACACTTCATTCTAATAAAAGGGGCAATACATCAAAAGGAAATAATAATTATCAACCTGTACGACCAAAAGTCAGTGCACCCAATGTCATCAAACTAAAGGACTTAAAACTCCAACACAGTGGTAGTGGGAGACTTTAATACCCCTCTATCACCAAAAGATAGGTCATCCAAAAAAAAAAAATTAAAAACAAAGAAATCCTAGAACTAAAAGTCACCATAAATTCAAATGGACCTAACTGATGTCGCAGAATATTTCATCCAACTTCCACACAATATACATTCTTCTCAGGAGCCCGTGGAACTTTCACAAAAACTGATACACAAACCACACAAAGCCTCAGAAAATATACAAAAATAAAAATAACCCCCTACATTTTATCTGATCACAATGCATTAACTAGAACTCCACAACAAAAACAGCAGCAGAAAATACACAAATAATTGACAGTTGAATAACATATTGTTCAACAATTAGTGAGTCATAGAAGAAATAAGAGAGGAAATCAAAACGTTCCTGTAAGCTAATAAAAATGAAAACACCACCTACCAGGAACTATGGGACACAGCAAAGGCAGTCCTAAGAGGAAAGTTTATAGCCATGAGTGCATATATTAAAAGGACAAAAAAGATCTCAAAGAAATGACCTAATGCTACATCTCAAAATCCTAGTAAAACAAGAACAAGCAAAAAGAGAGAAATAATAAAAATAAGGGCGGAAATCAATGAAATAGAAACAAACAACAACAACAACAAAACAATACAAATAATCAATGAAACAAAAATCTGGTTCTTTTGAAAAAATAAATGAGATTGACAGATCCCTGGCAAACCTGACTAAAATGAGGAGAGAAAAAACCCAGATCAGTAAAATCAGAAATGCAAACGGGCGATAACAACAAACACCACGGAAATCCAGGGAATCATCAGAGACTACTTTGAGAACCTATATCTTGAAGAAATGTACAGTTTTCTAGATACTTGTGACCATCCAAAACAGAACCAAGAGGATATTTATCACCAGAATAGATCTATAACATAAAATGAAATTGACGCAGCAATAAAGAATCTCCCAAAAAAGAAAAGTCCAGGTGCTGATGGATTCTCTGCTGAATTCTATCAGATCTTTAAAGAAGAACTAATACCAACACTCCTTAAAATTTTCTATGAAATAGAAAGGGAAAGAATACTGCCTAACTCATTTATGAAGCCAGCATTACACTCATCCCAAAATTGGACAAGGATACATCCAAAAAGGAAAACTACAGACCAATGTCCTTAATGAACATCATTGCAAAAATCCACAATAAAATAATAGCAAACTGAATCTAACAACATATTAGAAAGATCATTCACCATGACCAAATCTGCTTCATCCCAGGGTTGCTGAGATGGTTCAACAAACGCAAATCTACAAATGTAACACAATACATTAACAGAAGCAAAGACAAAACCACATGATCATCTCAATAATGCAGAAAAAGCCTTTGATAAGGTTCAATATATCATGATAAAAGCTCTAAGAAAACTAGGAGCAGAAGGAAGATACCTTAACATTATACAGACTATGTATGATAAATATATAGCCAACATCATACTTAATGAGGAAAAACTGAAACCATTTCTCCTAAAATTAGGAATGAGACAAGGGTGCCCACTGTCCCCACTCCTATTCAACATAGTCCTGGAATTCCTAGCTAGAGCAAAAAGGCAAAAAGAAGAAATAAAAGGAATACAAATAGGTAAAGAAATAGTCAAAGTATCTCTATTTGCACACAAGATTACCCAATACCACAAAGACTCAAAAATTCCTAGACTCCATAAACAGCTTCAGCAACATAGCAGGACACAAAATCAATTTAAAAATCAGCAGCCTTTCAATACATCAACAATAAACCAACAGAGAAAGAACATAGAAAAACAATTCCATTTACAAAAGCCTCAAAAAAAAAATCAAATATCTAGGAATAAACTTAACAAAGGATATAAATGACCTCTACAAGGAGAACCACAAACCACTAACAAAAGAGACTGAGGAACACTACAGAAGGTGGATAGATTTCCCATGGTCATGGATTGGCAGACTCAACATAGTTAAAATGGCTATAATACAAAAAGCAATCTACATGTTTAACAAAATTCCCATCAAAATCCCAATGATATTCAACACAGAGATTAAAAAATCTACTCTAGAGTTCATTTGGAAACACAAGAGAGCGTGAATTGCCAAGGTAATTCTCAGCAAAGAGAGTAATGCTGGAGGTATCACAATATCTAACTTCAAACTATGTTACAAAGCAATAGCAATAAAAACAGCATGGTACTGGCACAAAAACAGATATGATGACCAGGGAACAGAATAGAGGACCCAGATATGAATCCACACAGCTATGCCCACCTTGTTTTTGACAAAGGCGCCAAAAACAAATGACGTAGAATAGACAGCTTCTTCAACAAATGTTGCTGGGAAAAGTGGTTATCTGCCTGCAGAAAACCGAAACCAGACCCATGTCTATCATCCTGCACTAGTATCAACTCTAAGTGGATCAAGGACCTTAATATCAGACTGAAACTCTGAAGTTAGTACAGAAAACAGCAGGGAACATTGATTGCAATAGATATAGGCAAGGACTTCCTCAATAGAACCCTGGCAGCTCAGCAACTAAGAGAAAGAATGGACAAATGGGACTACATGAAATTAAAAAGCTTATACACAACAAAAGAAATGGTCTCTAAATTGAAGGGACCACCACAGAGTGAGAGAAAATATTTGATAGCTACCCATCAGACAAAGGACTGATAACCATAATACACAGGGAGCTCAAAACACTAAACTCCCCAAAAATTAATGAACCAGTAAAGAAGTGGGCAACTGAACTAAACAGAACTTTTTCAAAAGAAGAAATTCAAATGGCCAAAAAACACATGAAAAAATACTCACCATTCCTTGACCTAAAGGAAATGCAAATCAAAACCACACTAAGATTCCACCTCACTCCTGTTAGAATGCTTTTGTCAAAAACACCTCCAAAAACAAATGTTTGCTAGGATGCAGGGAAAAAGGAACCCTCATATACTGCTGGTGGGAATGCAAGCTAGTAAAACAACTTTGGAAAACAATATGGAAGCTTCTTAAAAAAGTAAACATACATCTGCATTATGATCCAGTAATACCACCCCTAGGGATATACCAAAAGGAATGCAACTCATGTTACTACAAAGGTACCTGAAAACCCATGTTTACTGCAGGACTATTTACAATAGACAAGCTATGGAAACAGCCAAGATGCCCTACTACCAACAAATGGATTAAGAAAATGTGGTATTTATGCACAATGAAATTTTACTCAGCCACAAAGAAGAATGAAATTTTGTCATTCACAAGTAAATGGATGGAACTGGAGAACATCATCTTAAGTGAAGTTACCCAGGCTCAGGCCAAAAATCACATGTTCTCACTCATATGCAGATTATAGACCTAAAACAAATGCAGTGATATTATTGGGTATGGGTCACACAAAAGAGAGAACCAGCACTGGAGGAATAGAGAAAGGGGAGGAAACCTAAAATTTGAATGTGGTTAATGTGCTCACTGTAGAGAAGTGAATATAGTAATCAGCAAACTGGCAGAGGCCACTATGGGAAGTAGCAAAGAGGTCTGGCAGAGATGAAACAATGTGGGTTGCAATACACAAGTTCATGGAAGCAACGTTAAGAATTTCTCTCTATATCTATATCTCAAACTAGCAAGAACTCTATGTCTTTGTTATTATCTCCCATTTTTATTCTTCAACAAAATCAAAGAACAATAGACTGAAACAGGTTCTGCCCAGAGAGGGGGGGCAGGGGTAGGAGGTGGCCCAAACAATGTATACACATGTAAGTAAACGTAAAAATGATAAAATAAAAAAAGAAAAGAAATTTCATGCATAAAATTTAAAACAAAAAAATGAACGTAAAAGATACCTTCTTGATTTTTTGCCTTTTCTCTCTTTGGCAGTGTCTGAGTCTACAATATCTGCTCTGAGGCAGTCCAAAGTCCCTGAAAATGAAAGGTGTTCTCCAAAGTACATTCTGTAGCAGAATGGCATTGCATCCTGTGACTGGATCCCTGTGTGACTCAGAAGAGGTTTAAAAACAACCTGAAAGACATGAAAAATTTATATTAATCAAATTTGTCAATCATCATTTACTGTGGCTTTTCTTAGCGTATCATAGTACATATTTTTACTAGTGTGAAGCAAAAATAAACAAAAAAACTTCATATAATCATCTTTCTTAAAACAAAGATTACTCTTTACCTTGCCTAAGTGTCTGAAAGGAAAGCAAAATTATACCTACTTTAAAACATAAGATTCTATTTTCAAAAAGAATTTGTTATAGGTTCACAAAGTAGTTTATCATCTTATTGTGTTCATATAAAAACATTTCAAATATTATATTATGAATACCTGACCCCTTTGAGAATGGTATCACTTTGGTTGTACCAACTCACTTAAAATTTGCTTTCTGACAGAGAAATACCTTTACACAGCTTATGGAAGTATGCTTACATCACTCTGCTGAGATCTCTAACTGAATTTCATAGAAGCAAAGAGATACATACAATACTAGAACTCTATACTCACGCTAAGGACTCATTCTCTGCAGCATGATTACTACTTCTCATCCTAAACTTGAGGGCTATCAGTGCTTTCCTAAGCATCCTTCTACCTTTCTCACTATACACTCTCCTTTAATGACCCTTGCCTGAAGCTTTCAGAGTCCTACCTAAATATACAAGTGCCATCTATACAGTGAAACACATATTTTCAATTATCCTAAGTCCCCTCACTGTTTTGTGCTTGGAAAGACAGGCCACTATTGTGACAATTCTAATATCAAGAAAGAGAGAATTCAAACAATTTTACTCTAGTCTAGAAGCTTAGGGAGAAATTATCTTCTCATCCTAATGGGAAAATTCTTCTTTTCAAAGCTCAAACCATCTTTCCTAATCTTTGTCATCGTTTACACCCTTGGTTGAACCTTCATAATTACTAGGGACTTTGGTTTCTGACTGACTTTCTTCTTTTTCTTTTCCTTCTCCATTTACTGTCATCAATGACTTCATCTGCCAACATTTCAATTCCAATGTTATATGATGTCCTTGTCCCCTACAATCATGACTTAAACTCCATTTCAGCAACTTCCTGTACTTCATATTACATCTCTTCACCTTATTTTTCTCTCTATATCTGATATGGGCAAATCCTCTTCTACTCCTATGCTGAGCTGCTGAGGACAATGAGAGAAAATTATGTAATTACATTCATAGGTACTTTTCTATTAACTTAAACTGTTAACAAGATAGACCTTTCACACTATTTGTCAATCTTGCTAGGGGTTTGTGGTGAGTTCTCTTCACAATCACTCTGACCTTTACATATGCCTAAATTACCTTACTCAATTTTTAAATTTTTAACTCACATATAAAAATTGCATGTATTTACAGAGTATCATGTGACTTCTTGATACATAAATCAAGGAAAACATTTCTATCCTCTCAAATATTTATCATCTCTTTATAGTAAAAACATTCAAACTCCACTCTACTAGCTTTTTGAAAAATATATGCACTGCATTAGTATTACCTACAGTCATCTTATTGTACAACACAATACCAGAACTTCTTTCCTTATCAACTGTAACTTATGCAGTTAATTAATCTTTCCACATTGTTCCTTCCCCACTCTCCCTGGTCCTGGTAGCTACAATTCTAGTCTCAACTTCTAAGACCTAACTTTTTTATACTCTAGATATGAGTGGAGTGCCTGGATTATTTCACTTAACGATCTCCAGTTCCATTCTTGTTGCCACAAATGACAGGATCCCATCCTTTCTTATAGCTGAATATTATTCCATAGTGTATATGTACCACATTTTTCTTAATCTATTGATTCATAGGCGGACACTGAGATTGTTTCCATTGCTTGTATACTGTGATTGGTGCTGCAATAAACATGGGAGAGCTGATGTCTCTATAACATATTATCTCATTTCCTTTAGACATCTAGTTAGTAGTGAGATTGCTGGATCATACGGTAGGTCTATTTTTAATTTTTTAAAAAACCTCAAACCATTATCCACAATGATTATACTGCCTTACCTTAGAAAACTTTCTAGTATATGATTTAATATTCATGTTCCTGACAGATTTTAGAATCTTATGGGTATCACAATGCAATCTCTAAAATGCCTCTTTGAATGCTAATAAATATAATGAACTTGGTATGCAGTCCAAAACAAAAACAAGCATAGAAAATTATTTTCCTGCTTTCCCACTTTAAAAAAAAAACAGGAGGCCCTTAAAAACTACTCCAATGTATTGGACAAATGAATCTCATGAAAATTTAAAGTGCTTACTATATTTTTTACATAAATTACATCCTTTTGTAAGAGAAAAATCATCTGTATAGTTGTGAACTATCATTACTGCTTAACCTTAGAGGAAAAAAGTATCTATTATGACTAAATAGTCTCTATTATTGACTTTAAATTCCAATACATCTCATTTCTCTACAAATCTTGCTCCATCCTCTAACCCTTCTTTCCTCTTTTTCATTTTCATTATGACCTCACTAATTCCCCCTATGTATGTTCAAGACCCAATGATCCTGAAAAACTGACCCTTCTCAATATCCACATCTCACTTCTCCCACTTGCCTTCTACTCAAACTAAAATGTTTCAAAGGATTTCAGTTTTCACTTATCATACTTAATCTATTAAATAAGACCTTCACACAATTTCTGTTTTACCTTTCCAAGCTCAGAGATCATTACCACCGTGTGAACTATTCCAATGACTCACCTTTTCTTCACTAGTTTCTTTACTTGGATTCATGTAAAGCATTGCTACTCATATAAATTCCTATATTATTTACTCCTCTGTTCTAAAATAATCAATGCCTCCCAATTATTTGCTTAAAGAAAGTATTAACATCACACATACACACACAAAAAAAAAACCTATGGAATATGATTAAATTGAACTTACTATTCATATAACTTAGCAGATTTATAGCAAATAACAAAAATGTAAGACTTTTGGGTGATGATCATCTATAGATGGTCTGTTACTTTGCACATGTAACTAATTTACATACTTTTTAAGGGCCTTTCTCATTTTCTGTTCTCTATTGTATTCTCTACCTGTCTGCAGGTAGAAAGTAGAGATTTTCACTAGAACTCCAAGTGTACCTGGTTGATGGTTCCAAAGTGCTGCAGAGAAAGGTATTACACAATTATGGAGAACCAGGCTGGCTCACCTGTGCATCAGCAAGCTGAACAGCAGGAAATCCTTGGTTTGCTTCTTCTACACCTGCCACATCATCCTGACTAGTGCTATGCTGAGAATGTGTGCCATCCAGAGTGTTCTGGTCACTAGACAAGACAGTGTTGAAATCTGAGGCTGAGGGTATCGTAGGAAGATTGGGTGCAACACCTACGAGTAAATGTTCAGGAATAAGATGTCAGTTGTTGAGAAATAGAAACAACATAAAAGAGCATAGGAAGGTAAAAGTTATGACGCCTATTCCTGTCTGATCAGCTTCTCATGCACGAAGAGTTACGGACAATGGCAGGCTACAAAAAGCAGGTGTGTCACAACAAAAGCCAAATGTGTCACAGAATCTTACATCCGCTTTCCTAAGGCAGAAAAAAACTGAAATGACACTCTTTCTTTCCTCTCTATTCCCCTTTTCATTTAAGTCCCCAGGCAAAGGACCTGCGATAGAGAACAACCATTCTGTCTCTTCCTCCTAAAATTTAAATTACATTCACTCTGTGCAGTAGTGAGACTAGAACCAGAAAGATGCTGTCTCCCTTACTTCTTCATACATTGTAGGAATCATAGTTTTTATGTCTCTGAGGACTCTGGATCAACTAAAATTATTTCCCAAATTATAAGTATAAAATTTGACTTTGCATTTTTTCCATTTACCTCCTTTTGGCATTGTAAAAATTGAAGCAGCCACAGTAAATGGAAATTTTAAACTTATTACATGTATAATATCATATTTTACATATTTGCCTTTCTACAAACACAAAGTGCTTACTACTCTGTCAATCACAATATTATCAAAGGCATTTATAAATGAACCGAATTTTTTAAAAATTTTAAATTATTCTCTGAAAAGCAGGATTTTGCTATAGCTATATGTGCCACTTAGGCAGATAAACTAAGTAAGGTAGCTCAATACCTGTTGGAAGACTATTATGTCCTGATTTTGTAACAGGAGATTCTTGTACCACACTTCCTCGATTACCCACAGCATTTGACATCCAATTATAGAAACTCACAGATGATGGCTCAGATAGCAAAGGATGTTCAGATAACATGTCAGTGGTCACTGTATTTCCTGAAAATAAAGTTTACTAAGCACAGAATTACTTATGTACTAAGGAACAGAAAAGGGGATTTATACAATTATTTTCAAATTATTAATTCAAAGAAAGCTTAAACTTGTTTGAATATGCTTTCAACTCTCATGGCATGATACTGGTGTGTAAACACTAAAGCATTAATATACATTTATTTTTATTATAAGGGGAGGGAGATTCTGTTTTGGCTGGTCTAGCCACATACCACACCAGATTGCTTAGGTTGACATTAGTCAGTACTGCAATTTTAAAATGCAAATAAAAGGCACAAAGACACCCAAAAGTTACAAAACCAAACAGAAATGTCTTCTAAAATACTTTCTCAAAAATAAAGCACAATACAAAAGATTAGTCATCTAACCAATGTAAATGTCTAAATAAACTCGTCCTATATTTTTTAATTCCCCCCATGAAACTAAGGTACAATTATCAAGTCTAGGGGAGGCACCTGTTCTCGTTAGGGAGCTGCTCTTTACAGCTGCACTACTTCTCTGAGGAGTTCCTTCTAGAAGGTTGTGCAAGCTTGGGAAGCTTCCAGTCAGGTAGCTGAGGAGACTCTCCTTCCGTGGACTCTCTTTTACTGTCATCCCTGAACGTCCAACATGCACTGGAGAATCTGTGGCAGTGTCTCCACTGGTATAGCTCAGAGAATGATATGGATGTATGCCCTAAAGAAGGAATAACACAGGGTTCATTCTTATGCAAACAACAATGACTGCTGACAATTAGAACTACTATGAATGTTGCTATTACTGCTGGTTATTCTGCACATTGATAGTAAAACTGGTTGTGTCTACTGGAACTGCAGTGACTCTCAAATGTAAGTAAGCATGTTCTGTAGTTCTGTAATACAATACAAAGAGTCACTTTTATTATTATTTACTATACTGATGCAAAATCCCTTATTTTCAGTATGTATGATTAATTCTGTTCTTACTGAAAAAACATACAGACCATAGCACAACATTTCAAACAGACTGTAACAAATAAGATACTGGTTAATGCCTAGGGAATAGTGAACAGAGTATCAGAAGTTCAGAAAGCTGTGGGTAGTGCTGAAGAACACCCCAATGGCTAATAAAGAAAAAAATGTAAGTAGGCTCAAATAATTGTACCACTGCTTTTTTACTGAATCAGCAAACTAATACCCAGATACAATCTCCATTATTTAAACTAATCCCTCTATGAAATATCTAAAAGCTGGGCATTACAGGCTCATGCCTGTAACCCTAGCTACATAGTAGGCTGAGAAGAGAAGGATCACAGTTCAAGGCCAGACAAGGTAAAAAGTAAAAAAGACCCCCATCTCAACAGAAAAAAAACTGGGCATGCCACTGTGTGCCTGCCATACCAACTACAGTGGGAAGTGTAAAACAGGAGGATCATGGTCCACGTCAGTTTGGACAAAATGTGAGACCCTATCTCCAAAATGACCAGAGCACAAAGGGCTGGAGGTCTAGCTCAAGCAGTAGTGTGCTTGTCTACCATACGTGAAGTCCTGAGTCCAATGCACAGGTACCACCAAGATGGGAAAAAAAAGTATATACACTGAAAGTAATCTGTAAAATGCCTAATAGAAACTAGAGAAAGGAAAATCATGTACCTTCATCTGACTTCCCTGCAGGTTCTTAATACAGGTCAGTGTAGACACCTACTGGAGGGAAACTAGTGGCTTTTTGATAAGAACAGGGGAAGCAGGGGCAAAGATTACCAAGTGCTATAAAACCCCCTATGTCTTAGCTTGCTCTGGAAAGCAGAGAGATCTGTACAGTTTTACATGCCCTCAGTTAGGCAGGGAAAGAGGAAGGAAGAGTTTCACTGTCGGAAATAAAAGAGCACTTACAACATATTAAACACCTACTAAACATGTTTCATGTATTATCTTATTAAATGCCTAACAAGTTCTCCAAGGTGGAAGATTCATTCTATCTCTCAAAAGAAGAAAATCACTTATAAAAGAAAATACGGGAAAAATCTGACTTTCTTAACCTATCCTATTGATTCAATGCCAAAATTCTTCATACTATTGTTATTCCTTAATAAAAAAATCTGTGTGAAGGGTTGATTCTCTGGAAAACACTAAATACCAAAAAGAATTTCTAGCAAGTCTTTAATTTCATAATTGTTTAATCTGTTCTGTCACATCTAAGATTACCATTTCAGATCAATTTAAACTTTAGCACACACACACACACACACACACACACACACACACAAAGACTAAAATAAAAACATCTTGAAAAGCAGAAATATGAAACAAAGAACTTTGAATTTCAATTGTTTGGAGGTATTTTATAATTCATAAATAAAAGAATACTAAAAAAAACTCCTGAGACAGGATAGCATTAACAATGAAATACCTGAATATGATCAGAGGGTTTTCAAATACTGTCTATAGGTAAAAGAGCTGAGACAAGTGTCCCAGGAGTCGACTACCTATATTATGGGAATAGAGTAAACTGAATAAGCTTAATATACAAGCTTAAAAAATATATATCAATCTATTATTCAATTATTATCATCAATCTATTATTTTATATCTAGGGCTTTTTAAATTAAAAAAAACTTAACTGAATACTTTAATAATAAAAAGAGCAATATTTACATAGAATAAAAATTTTAAAAGCACAAAAGATTCCATAGAAAGTCTCTACTGCATTCCATCTTCTAGACCCCTCCCGCAGAGGTCCTCTTACATGATTCTTATCTTTTTATAAATTATTTATATGCTATAAAAGGATATAGTACATATTTTCCTATATTTTGTATTAATTTAATCTATGTACTTTAGTGCTCACTCCATATTGACTTAAATATCTACTTTATCTGTTTATAGGTTTTATAGTACACATCTGTATAGTGCATACTTTATTAGTCCTCTAATGCTTAGTCATTTATGTTGTTCCCATTATTTTCCAATTATAAATATCTTTGTACATGCATGTTTGAGGATTTATGACTATTTCTCTAGAATCAATACCTAGACCTGGAAATACTAAACAAAAGGGTATAACATTTTAAATTTCATTACATCTTGCCACATTGTTCTTCCAAGGAACTGCAACTCTCACTAATACTGTAAGGGGACAAAGTGAGGGGAAACAAATGGCAAGAATTGCTTTGGAAATAAAATGGTAGATGTAACTTTGCTTTAGATAAACACAGGAAGTCACCTTTAAAGTAAAACATCTAGGGAGACATGAGAAACAGGATTTTCACATAGGTGGTTTCGTGCAGAGGTCATTTTTCTGAGAGAGGGGAAACAAAAAAAAAATTCCCAGAGGCAGCCATTTAAGGACCTGTAAAGGAAAGTAAGAGAAAACTTTCCCAAGACATACAAAAAGAATAAAATGTAGGTGACAAGCCACAAGGACAGAATGGACTAACGAGACCCTCTAGGAATGTCCAGTTCGATAAGGATGGGGGGCAGCCAGATGGTCAGTTTCAGGAAGAAGTTAATTAGATAGCCAATTATAGCTAAACCTTCAAAGTAGAGTAGGGGCAGGTGCCCAAAATCAGGCTTCTCTATTTAGTTGCATGAGCTCCAGTCATTCTTTGGCTTAGCTCTTTCGCTAAGTCTCACTCATTAGGGTGCTTTGCTATCCTTTCAAGGAACTTTGTGCTTGCTTTACTTTTAACTCCTGGTCTGACATGAAGTTCTCTTAACTCTTAACTGCTTGTCCAGTGCCTTCAATCATCAACTGAGCCAAGACATGAACCCAGGAAACAACAACCCAGTTCAGTTTCAATTACACGTGACAGGGACTATTTTCTAACATCTTCACTTACAAGGTATATGATCAAAAGTTTTAGCTTTCCGGTCTGACAAATAAAAATGGAAATGGCATTTTATTTTAGATTTAAGAGAATATAGTTTCACATGTGCATTTATACTTTTCGGGGACTTGCCTATTTGTGTTCTTTACCCTTTTCTCCCCCATTTTGGTTTCTGGTCTTTATCTCATGATTTTGTTTTAAGAAATTTGCCCATTGTCTTGTATTTTGTTTGCTATGTATACATTTTTTCTATATAAATTTTATATTTTAATATCACCCAAATTATCATTTACTTATGGATTTTTTTTTTCTTTTTTCTTGGTACTGGGGTTTGAACATAGGGCCTTGTGCTTGCTAGGTAAGTGCTCTGTAGCAACGTCCTCCCAGTCCTCTTTTGCTTTAGTTATTTTTCAGCTAGGGTCTCATGCATTTTTACTTAGGCAGGCCTCAGACCATAATCCTCCTACCAAATTTCCTTTATTCTTGAGATTACAACCATTAACCACCACACAAAGTTTTTTTGTTGAAATGGGAGTTTCACTAACTTTTTCTCTACCCTCGAACTTCAATCTTCCACATCTCTACCCCCTCAGTAGCTAGGATTACAGGTGGGTATAATCAAATGCCGCTTGGATTCTGAATGTTAATAAGTCTACATGAAGACTTTCAAAAAAAAAAAAAAGTAAAACTATGAACTGTCTGGTCCTTTGAAATAGCTCTGTTCGGTTCTTTTACCCTTTTCTTCATTGGGTCATTGACTTTTTGAGAGTTTAGTATTTTGAGCTCCCTGTATAGTCTAGTTATTAATCCTCTGTCAGTTGTATAGATGGCAGAAATTTTGTTCCATTCTGTGGACAGCCTTTTCAATTTGGTGACCATTTCTTTTGCTGTGCAGAAGCTTTTTAATTTCATGTAGTCAGTCCCATTTGTCAATCTTTCAAAGTTTCAGGTCTTATATTTGTAAGTCCTTAATCCACTTTGAGTTGATTCTTGTAGAGGGTGAAAGAAAGGATATACTTTCAGTTTTCTACAGACAGATATCCACTTTTCCCAGCAACATTTGTTGGGCATCATATGCTTGTGATGCCTTTGTCAGAAATCAGGTGGTCAAAGCTGTGTGGATTAATATCTGGATCTTCTACTCTGTTACAATTGCCTTCACATGTATTTTTATGTCAGGACCATACTGTTTTTATTGCTGTATCTCTGTAGTACCATTTGAAGTTGGGTATTGTAATACCTCCAGCATTGCTCTTGTTGCTCAGTATTGCCTTGGCTATTCATGGTCTTTTGTGCTTCCAAATGAACTTTAATGTTCATTTTCTAATCTCTGTAATGAATGTCACTGGAATTTTGATGGGGATTGTATTAAACATGTAGATTGCTTTTGGTAATATAGCCATTTTCACAATATTGATCCTATGAATCCATGATCATGAGAGATCTTTCCATTTCATATAGTTTTCTTCAATGGTTTATAATTTTCACTGTAGAGGTCTTCGACATCCTTTGTTAAGATCGTTCCAAGGTACTTTTTTTTTGAGGCTATTTTAAATAGAATTGATTTCGTATATTCTTTCTCAGACTGTTCATTGTTGGTATATAGAAAAGCTACTGATTTTTGCAAACTAACGTTCTTTCTTTCTATATTCCTGACTTTATTTATGATGTCTAGGAGTTTCTTGGTGAAGTTTTTGGAGTCTTTTAGGTAAAAGATCATGACATTTGCAAATAGAGATAGTTTGACTTCCCTATTTTTTCAATTTGTGTTCCATGTATTTCTTCTTGTTGTCTTATAGCTCTTGCTATACATTCCAAGACTATGTTGAATAAGAGTGGATAGAGTGGACACCCTTGTCTCATTCCTTACTTTAGAGGAAGCAGTGTAAGT